ATTTAATATTTATCAGCCTATTTAAAATAATTTTAAATTATTTTAAGTAAGATACATAGATTATAAAAAAAACTAAAATAAAAATATAATAATTAAGTTATATACAAATATTTATATTGTTTTTTATATTAAATAAAATATATGTAATATTTTTATATATTTTTTTCATTTTTGTTATTATAATTTATTTAAAACATTAATTTTTTTTATCAAATTTTGATTAAATAATTAGTTTATAAAATTTAAAAGTTTAAAAATATTAAATAAATGTTTATAAATAAAAATATTTATATATTAATTTTATAACCAATTTTATTAAATAATAAATTATATAAATAATTATATTTATATAATAATTTATTGAAGAAAATTTTATATTTTTTTTGAATTAAAAGTATTTATTTTATTTATAATTACTTACAAATATTAACAAAAATTAAAATATACATAACAAAATAAGAAATAGTCTAGCTTGTTAAAAAAATAAGTAAATAACATATATTAATTATGTTTGTATTTTTTAAGAGTAAATTTTTCAAATATAAAGTTATAAAAAAAAGAAAGTAATTATATTTATAATTAAGAAAATACAATATTTTGTAAACAGAAAATTTTTGATATAAAATCAAATGATTTTGCTAGAATATTGTTCAAATGTATCTATATTAAATTCAATATTTATATTTTTTATTTTTAAAAAATAAAATTATTCATTATTTATAATTAATTGATATTTCATAATTTAAAGATAGTAATTTATAAAATAATACAATTAATATTATTTTTAATAAATATTTTAAAATAAATTTAAAATTATGCTTTTAATAAAATATTAATTAAAAAAATAAGAAAATATTGCTTTTAAAAATTCTATTATAGGAATTTTTTATTTTTAAAAAATTATATTAATAATTTTTTTTATTTATAAAATTTAAAAAATCTATTTAATTATTTTTAATTCTTATTTTTAGTAAGTTTACATTTTTAAATTTAACAAAAAATTCATAATTATTTCCTTTTTGATAAATAGTAGATAAAACATTATAAAATTTATCAAATTAGTTGCTCAAAAATATACATATATATAATAAAAAAACTATATTAAGTTAGAAAATATATATACATTAATAGATTTCTATTATTTAATTTATAGAATAAAAATATATATTTATAATATTATTTATTAAATATATATATTTTAAGTTTTTAAATTTTAATTTATATACATACTTATTATCAACAAAAATTAGAATAAATTAAAAAAAGGCATATAATTGCAGAGATTAATTTTTTTACTTTAAATTTAAGCAGTTTAAAATTATATTTTTAATTACATAAAAATATTATTTTTTAACTTTTTATTAATCAAGTGGATATTATATATTTTAATTTTAAAATAACTTTATTTAATTAAAATATAAAAAATAGCTAATATTCAAAAAATAATTAATATTAAGTATATTAATTTATCAAATCATCTAAAAAATAGTCTGTAATATAAGCATTACATTTATATCTATTATTTAATTTTTATAAAAAAAAAGGAATTAGAAATTTCTATTTAAAAGCTTTTGGAAAAGATTATAAAAATTAATATTCTTTATTTCAAACCACAAAAATTTATTGTAAAATAGAAATTGTAAATTTATTAAATTAAAAAATAAATTATAATTTAAAAAAAATTTAAATTTTTCAGAATCTATCTATTTTTAATTTTACACTAAAATATTAAAAACAAAATCATATATATTTTAATACATGTTTATATATATGTATAAAATATATAAAAAGAAATACCATTTAAAAAATATAAAGCAAAAAATAAAATAAATAAATAAATATTAAAATGAATTAAGAAAATAAAATTATGCTAATGCATTAAGACTAATAAAATTGTTAATTTAGAATACCTGAATAAGTAAGTATAATAAAGATAAAAAAATATTAAAATAAATTAAAAAAGACATAAGAAAACAAGCATAAGCTTCATCTCTCTTAAAAATTAAAAGAATTAGATGAAATATACAAATCGTTATCAATTGGTGATAAAAAAGCAATATTTGAAATATATTCTAAGCATTAAAATCTTATAGAAGAGTTAGAAGGTTTAAATCCTAGTTACAACAGTACAATAAAGAATCTATTAAATTAAAATGAAGAAAATAAAAATGACTTTAAACTAGATAATATAGATATATAAAAATTTCCTTCATTAAATCTAGATTTATTAATATCTATATTTAACCAAAAGCATTAAAAGCAAACATATTATTAAAATGCCTAAAATTTATCATCATTGATAATAAATTAAATAGAATAGTAAATATAGAAAGAATATATAAATGAAACAAATTAAAAAAAAATCAATAATGAATTGTGTTTTCCTGAGGAGAAAATTGAAAACAACATAGAGTTATTGGAAAATCAACAATAATAAAATAAAATGGATGATTTTTTAATAAAATAAGGAAAAATGTCACCTCATTAACAAGATAAATAAGAAATGTTAGATATTGATTACTAAATATAAAAAGCGAATAATTATTAGAATACTTTTTAGAAGTTTTAGGAACAAATGATGAATTTAATATAAGATAATTATAATTATATAAACAAATAATCAATAAATTAATATTAGAAGTTTAATTAAAAAAAAGAAAGCGATGAAGGAAATTCTTAATAATAATAATAAGACTAATAATAATAATTAGAATAGAGAAAATTAACTAAAAAATAAATAAATATATAATGGTAGAAAACTTAATAAAGAAAAATTATTGAAAAAATTCAAAAAAAATAATAAATTTTTAAATTAATTCGAAAAAAAAACCTCAAAAGAAGTCCCATTAAATGGAATAAAATGCAAGAGAAATTAAAAGAATTAAAAACTTAAATTTAATAATAATAATTAATTATTCAAAAATAAAAAAATTGGTCCAAAAATTAACCTTCTATTTTTGAGAATTCTAAAAGAAAATTACTTGAACTTCTCGAAAAATAAAAAAACTTAACTTTTAAAAATATTCCATGCTACAAAATTTCCCTTTTAAACAATTTCAAGATATCATTTAAAATAATGAAGATGATGAGAAAAATTAAACTTAAATTCTTAAATATTTATTTAATAATAATTTAGAAGAAGATGATGATGAAAGTAATAATTTCTATTAATCTTAAAAATAAAACTAAGGCGATAATAATAATAATAATAGTACTTATTATAATAAGAGTGTTTAATAATTACATATTGATAATGATATTGATAATTTCTTTATAAATAATTAAGACTAAATTAATTATAATACTATCTAATATGATGCTAGTGAAATTTTAAGTAATTTTAGTGAGTAATGTTTGGCAAAAAATAATAGCTTTTCCCATTCTTAATTTAATTAATTTTTAAATTAAATAGAAACTTTTAATGTAAATAAGGAAAATAATAATAATAATAATAATGCAAACATATATTGATAGCTTTTTTTTATTTTTATTTTTAAATTAAATAATTTTTTTTTTTTTTTAATTTAATTAATTAGTTTTTTTACTATTTATTTTAAATATTTTCATATTTATTAACTAGAAATAATATAATAATAATTTTTAAAGAAATATATATTTTTTTAATCTAAAAATTACTTTTATTTTATTTTAAAAATATATTTTATAATATTTATATCTTTTAGATAATTCGATTTTCATTTTTAAAAATAATTTTACAATATTCATTTTATTAAAAAAAAAAATTAAACTTCTAATTATTATTGAAAAAAAAAAAAACATTAATACCTACCATTGATATTATAATATTAAAAGGTTGATATATTTTTTATATGTATTTTTTAATTAATATAAAGAACAATTAAAATTTTTTAATATTAAATAATTAAATTTTAAAAATTCAAATAAAATGGAAAATTAATATGAAAATGATTAGAGTAAATTTGGTAAACATTAAAAAAATAAAATTTCTATTTTAAGCAACAAAGAAATAAATGTAATAAATAAAAAATTTAATTCAAAATAATAAATAACAATAAAAAAAAGTTTTCAAAATAAAGTACATATGATACAAAATTAAATTCAAATTAAACTCTTCAATAATACGATTAATTTAATACTAAGTGTGTTTAAGATTATTTAGAAAAATTATGGTCATAAATAATGCATTATAATAAAGATTTAAGATACTTTAGACTAGAAATAAGTAATTTAAAGGATGATATAGTAATTATAAAACATTAAGTAAATCGGGAAATAGAAAATTAAAAAGCAGATACAAAGCCTACAGCATAAAGAATGAAATATATTTTAGATAAAAAATAACTTTCAATTAAAGCAGAAAACACATATATGCAAAATCAAATAAATTATTTAAAATAAGATATATTTTAATTATAATAATAGATTAATTAATTTAATGAAAAAATAAAAAAGTTAGAAAAAAAAATGGATTATATGGGGTTATTCCAAGAAATAAAAATTGATAATTTATATAGTTTCTATATTTATATATTTAAAAAAAAAAATATTTTATAAGAATTGATGAAATATTTATCCTTTATTAATTTATTTTATTATTTTTATTAAAATGTATTAGTATTAATTTGCCAAAAAATAAAATTATTTATATTTTTATTAATAATAATATATATATATATATATATATATATATATTATAAAGATTATCAAAGTTTACAATTTAAAAATATATAAATAAAAATTCAAAAAATTTTAATTATTAAAAAATTCTAATTTTAAATTTAATTTATTTAGTTTGCAAAATTTTATATTTATAAAATATAAACTATCTATATATAAATATTATAAATAAAAGCCTAAAAATGCATAATACAAAATTATATTATATTTTATTTTAAAAAATAATATATATATATATATACAAATATATCCTTTTTTGTTAATCTTTAATTAAAAAAGTATTATATTTTAGATATTAAAATAAAAAATCATAAAAGAAGATAATTATTAAAAATAAAAAAATGGCAACATCAAATATCCTTTGGCAAAATCATGAATAGTTTTTGAAAAATATGGAAGGTAAATATAAAAAATTCTAAAAAAATATCAACAATAATAAAATAATAGAAAGAATCCATACAGATGGAACAACTTTATAAATTTAAAGAATTATGCATGATTACATATCCTAAAAAAGAAAAACAACATGGACAATCAACTTAGAAAAAATATTCGTAAAAAAAAAGATATACATAATTTATTAAAAAATAATAAATAAACAAAAGATTTTATATATAAACATTTCAGTCTAACTCGAAAAAACAGATGCAATAAAAGAAGCTTTATAATAATATAAATACTTAACATAAGTCCAATATGCTAACTCCTTAGAAAATGTACTATTGCACATAAAAAATGAAGTAGAGAAATTATTTGCAAGAAAAATCTAACACTATGACTTTGAAGAAGTAAATAAAAAAAAAAAAAAATTAAAAAAAAAAAAAAGGTAAAATAAAATCCTGATATAGATTCAGAAGATCCCGAAGATACAAACTTAATGACAAGCAATTTAACTATAGAATAAAAATAAAGAGAAATCTAAATAAAAAACGTTCTAAAAATAATATACGAGATCTATAAAATGATAATTGAGACAGTAAAAGTACACAAAAAACTCGAAGAAGTTCACATCATTACAATTTAAAAAATGCTTGAATTTTGTGACAAATACTCTCGCAAAACTGAACTTAAACGCTTTTTAGAACACTAGCATTTCTTCTTGACTTAATTATAATAAAGAGATATTGACTTTAATAAAAACCCTAATCATATAAGTCTTTATAATAGTGAAACTAGAGATTATTTAATCCAAATAAGACTTGATTGTACAAGATCTGCTTTAAAATAAAGTTTATATTCGTACGCTTTCAGATAATTAGAAGACATAAGTATTTTAATAAACTTAAAAAAAGTCCAAACCCCTATTAAACATAAAATAATGTCAGCTTATTATTATTATCTGAGTGAAGTTTTCTGGCATTCAAAGTACTTTGGATATCACAGCTTTTTCTTTTTGCATCACATATTGATTTTTAGAACTAACCCATAAGCCAGTGCTGAGGAAATAAAAGAAAAAATCAACTAATTAATTCTAGGAGTACTTTCCATTCCCTAATATCCTATTGAAGATTTTTAAAGTGAAGAATCAAAGGCCAAAATAGCATCTTTACAAAGAAACAATAATAAATTAATTCCCAAAAAAGAAGAAATAATCAGTCTTGTTTAAAGAATGAACTTAAATGAAGTAGCTCTTGAAGAAATAAAAAGTTTATTTAATTTAGAATTAAATGAAATTTCTATTTTTAATGTTTCCTAAAAAATATAGCCGATATTTAATTCATTGAAAGAAAATCCTAAACTATCAATGTATATACCTTATATTGAAGAAAATATTATATATAAACTTCTCTCGAATATTTCCAAAATCTACAAAACACTCAACATAGAAAATTTCTATAAACTCTTCTCTTTTTCAACAAAATAAATATGTAATCAATGCCTTATTTATGCTAGTACTTAGGGACAAATCAGTTGTCGAGTAGATTAATCGAAAGGAGTTATTTACTTTAATCCTTCGAAAAAAAACGAGTATTTAAATGCATCCTAAAACCTTGTTTTTTTAGCTTTGTAGGCTAAATTTATTAAAAATGGCATTTAGAATCAAAATTAAAATACCATTAATAATGAAAATAATATCTAGAACATTTAATTAGCTTAAAAATATTTAAATGAAAGCAATACTGTGATGAAAAAAAGGATGGAAGATATTGTAAGTTATAAAAGAAGTGAATAAGCAAGAATTTCTAGTTAATAAAATAAAAAAGACTTCGAAGAGAAAAATAAAGAAGAATTATAAAAAACAATCTAAATAGAAGAACATAATAGGAAAATGGAGGAATATGAAACAAGAAAAAAAATAGAAAAATAACTATTAAAACAAAAAATGGAATTAAGAAATGAAATCATTAAAGTTAAAGGAAATTAAATAGTTAAAATAGGAGGAATTAAAATAGAAAATATGACAGAAGAAGATTTCGTTTCAATTGATATTAATACTTTATATGATTTGAAGAAAAATGTATAAAATAAAATCAAAGAAGAACAAGAAAATAAATATAAAAAAGCTTTCACAAAACTTGATTATGTTTAAAGGGAAATAAAAAAAGCAGAATATGAGAAACTAAAAACTACTTTTAATCAAAGTAAAGATCAAATATAATAATTTTCGGAAAACGCATAATAAAAATACAATAAAAATCTATAATAGAAAAATAGTTTTATATCAATAAAGAGTTTCAAAGTAATATTATACATTTATTTAAATATGTATAAAAAATACCTAAATATAAAAATATATATATATATATATATATTATATATATATATATATATATATATTTATATATATATTTATATATTTGTATATTTATCAATAGGATATTTTCTTTGCTATTAAACTTGAAGAAAGAAAAAAACAATATACTGAAGAAATGTAATAGTTTAAACATTATATAGAAAAAGAATTTAAATAAAAAATAATGACAGAAGCACTCAAAGCATTCCAAGATAAAGAAGCTTAATTAGTAATAAATATATATGTATAAATTATATAAAATAAATAGTAAAAAGAAAAAGAAGCTGAAAGAAATCAACCTTTTTAATAATAATAAGAATAACTTTTATCAGAATGTTCCTGGCGAATAGTTTAATAAAAAAACGATGTTATTTAAACAGAAGAAAGTAAAATTATAATATATATACAATTATTTATTATTATTAAAAAAGTTTCTTAAGTATAATCATCTAAATTTTAATAAATAACTTAAGTTTAGGAAAGTGATGCTGGTTGGCGATAAAATTTGCCTAAATAAGACGAAAAACCAGTTAAATAAGAATAACCTGCAATTTCTCGAGGTATTCATGGCTTAGTTGCAAACCAAAAAACAAATGATGATAATTTATGGCGTACAAAAGAAGTATAACCAACCTAATAACTAACCTAAACAAAATAAACAGTAGATATTGGCCCTCCTAAAAGATTTATTAATAATGCTATAGGAAATTAAGATTAAATGTCTAGAAAACTTCCTTAAAATTAATAAAACTTGTAAAAACCGACTACTGTAGTTAATGATAATACTGGTGGAGGTATTTTCAGTAGAAACAAAAATTTCGAAAGTAAATAAAGTTAAGGTCCTTAAATTTCAAGAAACACAAATTAGAAAAAATGAAAAATTTATTTTATTATATTATAAAAAAAAAAATTAATTTCACATTTTTTATAATATCTATTTAAAATATAAACATTATATTTATATGAAAAAATATTATATAAAGTATAAAAATAATAAATAAGATAAAATTAAAAATATATATATATATATATTTATATATTTTATATATTAATATATATATACTATTTATAAGATTTAATCAATAAAATATTAATAAAAGAAATAAATTATTATTTTTTATAAAATAATTTAATATTATATAAGTTAATATGAAAATTTATTAAATAATAAATAACTTTTTCAATACAAAATATTAAAGTATTAAAAAATTGATTTATAATTAAAAATACAAAATAATTTAATTTAAATATAAATAATATAAATTAATATTAATGAAAATTATAAAATATAAATTAGACTTTAAAGAAAAATATATATATAAAATATATGTTTATAAATATATATATATATATATTTATATTTATATATTTATATATATTTATTTAAATATCTAGGTTTATTTTAATTATTTTTTTTTCTATTTTTCTTGCTATTTATTCTTGTTCACGAATTGCAAATTAATTAAACAATAAACAAATTTTAAAACTGAAATGAACTTAGAAAATAATATATTTTTTATTATTATCCTTCTTGCTTTATATTTTTATACATAAATATATAATATATCTTAAATAATTTTTTTTTTAAACATTTATTATTAAAATAATCTCCGATTTATAGTTAGTTCATTAAAATTTTTTTTTATCATTATTGAATAATAATATATATTCATTTTATATTTTAATATGATTAAATATATTAATATTTTCTTCAAATTTTTTTATTTTTATTTTTATTAGCCAAGTCATAATTAAAACAGAGTAAATTAATATATTATTATTATTAAAAAACACGATTTTCCTATGATATCTTGAGTAAAGAATTTAAGTAAGTAAAATCTTAAAAAAAAAATATTCCTGGATACCTATTTCTAAAGTTGCTTTTGGTGAATTTTAATTTTATAATTAACTTTGCATTTAAAATAAATTTTATCATTCATCTGTTTTCATTAATAATACTTCCATTATTTTTTTTATCGATAATTTAATATTTTAAATAATAAATTTTAAATTTCAATTGTTTATGTCATTTTTTTATTTTTTTAATAATCTTCTTTTTAAAACTCAATCAACCACAAAAGAAAGACTATTAATATAAAATAATTTAATTTGGAAAGACCTAATATTTATTTTTGTTATATATTCATCGATAAGTATATACGGCCGTATTTTCAAACAAAATACATAGTATAAAGTATAAAGCTGAATTTTTACATAAAAAAACAAATCCTTATATAATAGTAATTTAACTAATATTTTGGATATATTTCAAATTAAAATTTTATTTAAGTATAAATATGCATTTTATTGAACACTTTTTTAAATAATAAAGTTTACATTCTAAAAAAAATATGACTATTTGCAAATGTTAATTTTTTTGTTTTTATTTATCATAAATTATGATTTTTTTTTTTTTCCCATTTATAAACGAATCTAAATTAAAGAAATAGTTTATAAAAAAAATATAATATAAAATGAAAACTCCAAAATAATTTTAATAAAATAAACATTTTTAAGTAATAAAATATACATTATTATTTTTCTTTAATTTATAAAGAAAAATATGATTTAACATTTATGTCATCTAAAAGTAAAATTAACTAAATCGATGTTTTATTTAATTTGTTTTCTAACTTGTTTATTTGTTTTCATAATTAATTATATGAATAAATTTTCATTTTTTATTACATTTATGCACTTTTTTTTATAAAGTTTTTTTTCTTTTGCTTTTATAATTAGTTAAAGATAATATTCAATCAATTATTATTATCAATATTTTATGAAGTTGAATTTATATAATATTAGCTCACATCTATTAATTATATAATGAATGAGATTCTGATTTTAAAATTAAGCTATAATTAAATCATAAATAATAAATAAAATATTATTAACTTACTCTATTTTTAAATTGTATTAAATAAATCATAAATGATAAATAAAAAATTAATAAATTAGTTTATTTTTTAAATAAATATAAATTGATATTTTAAAAACTAATATAAATAAAAAACTTAATTTATCAAAATAAAGTCTATAAATATTAAAATATTGTGTATGAAATATTAATATATAAATAATAATATTAATTATAGTTAAATGATTAATTTTTAAAATAATAATATTAAAATGTAATATTAAAATATATTACCAAATAATTAACTTATAAAAAATATAATATAATTTTTTTTTTTAAAAAAAAAAAATAATATATTATTATTTATTTTATAAATTAATATAATAATTCTAATAAAAAATATTTTAACACTATAAATTATACCAATAAGCTCGATTAGCTCAGTTGGTTAGAGCATGCGGCTGTTAACCGCAAGGTCGAAGGTTCGATCCCTTCATCGAGCGATTTTTTAAATTTTTTTTTATAAAATAAAATATAAATATTTTTTATGATTTTATAATTTAAAAATATAAATATTTTCTTACATTTAGATAATATAATATTTTATAATTATTTATTTATAATTTTTTTTATATTTGTAATTTTAAATTTTGACTTATTTTATATCATTTTGTTTTTTTGTATAATTATTAAACATTTTTTTAAATAAGTTTTTATAATACATTTTAATAATTATCATTTGCTATAATTAATTAAAAGAAGAATATAATTTTTAATTTGATTGATAAAAGTAAATTTCTTAATATAATAAAGAAATAAAAAGAAAAAATATAAATATCTAAACAAAATATTTTTATTTAAAATAATCTCATTATTATAATTATAAATTATATATTATAAATATAAAATATTGTTAAAAAAAATAAAATAAAAAATAATAATTTTCAAAACAGATTATTTAATTTAAATTATAAAAAAATAAAAATGGAAACAGCCAATTAAACAAGAAAATACTATACAGGATAACTTTAAAATATATAATAATAAAACAGTAAAAGCTTAAACGATTTATTCTCTTCTTCATAGGCATAAAAAACTTATTAATTACTGACTAATATTTAAACATCAGCATTGGGAAGATAAGATATAAAAATATAATAAAATCTTAATTGTAAAAATATATTTAATAAATTAAATATAAAAAATAAAAAAATTTAAGAAAAATATATTTCTGATTATTCAATTAAAGATAGTTAAATTCGTTTATTTTATTCGAAAACAATAAGTGATGATTTAGCTAATAAACTTCTTACTTTACAATCTATTTTTTAAAAAATGTTAGATTAATACAAAAATAAATAAAATATTAAAGATAAAGAACTTTATAAAATTAAATAAATACATTAATTAATACAGTAATTTTAATAAGATATTAAAAATCAAAATGTAAAAAATATATAATATAATAAATAATCTATATATATAAAAAATATAAACTAATATTATGTATTCATATTTTTTATTTTACTTGTAATATTTTTTATAAACTCAATCGAAAAACAATTAATATATAAATAAAAAATAGGAAAATTATTAAATATATTATAAACTTAAAAAAGAACTTGAATAATTCTAAAAAATAAGCCAAAAGAAAAAATGTATTCAAATATATACACTATCCTTAAAAAATCCTCGTAAAATATATCTAAAATTCCATAATTTCCTAACCCAAGTATATACTAACATATATAGATTTTTAAGCGATCCCTTAAGTATTATAAAAATACTAATAATGTACATATTAGTAATATTTATTTGTCAATACCTATCTGTTCCTGAAATAAACATGATGAAAATTTAATTTTTACTAAATTACTTAGCATATAATAATTAATCTTTAAAATTAATTGTTTCAGGAACTTTTCTTTTCTGTTCATTTTTTTTGATTAGTATACGCTAAATATAAAAAAAAATAATGAACTAATATTAGACTCCATTCCCTTCCTATTCTAAATTTTTCCGCCACAACCCCATTTTATAAATAGGAATATTATATATATCAGACAACAATATAATAAGTCAAAAATTTGATCTTTCAATATGGATTGTTGTATATTTTTTCTTTATAACATTAAAAATCCATCACAATAGAGCATTTAAAGAATTAAAAAAAAAACTCTAAAATATATCCGAAAACGAAAACTAAGAAATCGCTTTTATAATAAATTTAGAAAAGCTTTCTTTATATTTTCTATTTATTAACACTTTCCTTACTTTTATTTTAATTTACATATTTTAATATAGTGGATTTTACAAACTTAGTTTATTATTATTTGAGGGAATTTTATTTATAATATAGTCTATAAAACTAATATTTATAAGTAGAAAAGTTAGAAAAAATATAAGTTTTTATTTACATTCAAACATGGATGAAATAAACGATCCTTTTGTAGGAATAGAAATTTTCTTTAATATTTTTTACAATTTAATTGTATTAGTACACATATTGTAAATCATATACTCTTTTTCGGTAAAATTTGAATATAAATTAGCCATTTTAAGTTGGGTGATATATATTTATTTGAAAATTTAAAAAAGTATCAAGAATATTCGCAAAAATGTGAATTTTTATAGAAATTTTACACTTCTAAAATAAAATATAAATTGGATTTTTCCAAAAGTGCATTAAAACTTAGATGATGTGTGCTCTATTTGCCATGATAAGCTTATTGTGGCCAGAAAAATATCTTAATGTGGACATATTTTTCATATTAAATGTCTGTTTCAATGGCTTAAATTGCAAGAGATTCAAAAATGTCCCGTGTGTAGAAGAGAAATTACTAATTTGAAAAATTTTTATTAAGGTTAATAATAGTATAATGCTTTCTTTTAATAAGTTAGGTTTCTTTTTGGGCTTTTTTTAACTTTCGGTTTAAATAATATATTCGAGAATGAAAATTAAATTAACTAGGAATTAATTAGTAATTATAACAATAATCAATAAAATAATAATAATCCAC